GGCATCCAGCTGACTTATAATTACAGCTTGGCTCATTGAAGGCTGCTTTTACGTTTGCTGCGTTGTCTCTTAAGCAAACTCCAATTTTTGAAGAAATTTCCCATTCCTCTGCTGCTGCTTTGATCTCTTTGAAAATATTTTTTGCAGTATGACTTTCATCAAATGGAGAACAAGAGATGCAGAATTTGACACGGTTCCAGTCTTTGGAAATAAAGTGAACAGTCATTCCCAGATAGCCATGATGAAATGATGACCATGCATCAAGGCAGACAGACACATTTTCAGCTTCTGATTGAACCAGCTTTTCCTTGAGAGCAACTTTAATTTTTTCGTAAGTCGGATCCAGTAAACTTCTGTAGTATTTTTCGCTAGCATTTTCGTAATTTGGAGCAATAAGAGCATGGTGCCATTAAAAAAGTTATAACGACAAGAAAACATTATTGTTTTAATGTTTTAACGACGAGAAAACATTAAAACAACTTGCTTTAAAAAAATGAATGAAACCAATAAAAACTTTTTTAATTTATTTCAAACAAATTCCACGTGATAATTTAAAAAAAAATCACCAAGTTCGTAAAGATTTTACCGTTACCAATTCCATGCGATAATTAAAATAAATAAATAATCAAGTCCATAAACATATGACTCTACAATGTAGATAACATTGTAGCGTCATTAAATTTGTAGATATATATTTTAAACATGATAATTAAAAACCAGATAAAAGTAACAACGCGATCGGACGCAAAAAATAATATAAGAAGTTGAAATAACTAGCAAAAAAATTATTTAAATTTTTTTAATCAAAATATATTTACGCTACAATGCTAAATAATTTATTTAAAATAAAGTTTTATAATATCTATTTTCGGTAGCATTTAGAACCGAAATTCCGGCCGAAACCGAAATCTCAAATCTAGCCGGAACCGAAACAGGAATTTCGATTCCTGCCAAATTTATGACCGGAACCGAACCGAATTTCGGTCGATCACTAGTTAGGGGTCATCCATAAAATATGCAATGCAAAATATATTTAAAAAACAGAAGTCCTTTTAAAAGACCCCTAACCCTGACCCTAACCCTGGCTATTAAGCTCTTTTACATGGCAATTTTCATTAAACTGAATGGGCTATTTTGATTTTATATTTAAATTAAGACCCTGCAAGGGTAAACTTTTGATCTTTTTTTATTTTGTCTCTTGTAAAAGTTTGCGTTACTTAATTTATGGATGATCTTTTAGTTATTGTCAAGTCTTTTAGTTATTGTTTTTCATCTTTGTGTTTGTTATTTTATATCAACTGAATTAGGTGATCACATTGATTAAAATTTTTTATTTATTTATTCACTATAAGTTCACTAACTTTTTTAAAAAACCACATCTGAAATATAATTTGAATACAAAAAATGTTGTATGATTATAACATATTGGTTCTAAAAATTTATTTAATGAAGAAAATAGATTTCTTTACTTTACTTGCTTTTATTTAAAACGTAAATACGTATATTAAAACGTAAATTAAATACCTTTAATAACAAGAATGTTTTTTTTTATTACAACAAACTGGTACTAGAAATTTACAAGCTTGTGTTTACTATTTTCAAAACCTTATCTATTTTTAAAACATTTCTTTTGATGACACAATTTATTACATGACGATGTAGGGTTTGTCCATAAAGGACGTCAAGCAGAATTTAAATAATAATTAGAAGCAGAAGATCATTAGCTCTCTTCCGCAGAAATTTTCATTTAACATAGTTTACTATATTATAGTGAAAAAAAAAATATTCAAAAGAATACTCTTGAAATAAAAACAGCAACGATTTATAAAGATTAAAAATAAATCAACTATATTATTTTTGATAATAATTATTTACACTGATTATTTTATAACAGAAAAATAACTAATTCAATTAATTAATTCCATACATGTTTGGAAATCAGAGCTTAATTTGCCATGTTGTTAATAAACCAATCAATGTATGCAGCGCTGAAGTGGAGTAGAAAAAGAAAGAATATTAGAAAAGGACTCCACACATTCCTGCAATATATTTTAATCTCAGCGGAGGGAGGGGGGGGGGATGATTAGGAAATATTTTGACAAATTCCCAATTTTGTTAAAATGCTGCATCAAATTTATTCCTGGTTAACACCCTGGTTTCCTTCAAGTTTTCTTTCATGATAACCATCATTTCAATATTGTCAATGCTAAGGCTATTTCTTTTTTCCAACATAACATTTCCAGCAGTTGAAAATACTCATTCCGAGATAGCTGATGATGCAGGGATGCACAAGATCTTTCTTGCTAGACTGCTGTGATAATCTTGTACGATTGGTCTTCCAATATTTGATAATATCTGCCTTGTTGTTTGCAACTTCTTCATCAACATATTTACTATCTCGCATTTGGCATAAGTTAACAGACAATTTTTATCAGTGTTTTTATTTTGCCCGTATAGCTTCTTTAAAGCAGCAGTTGAAGCTTCTTCATTGGACCAATTATCTTTTTTTTTGTTGGTAACTTTGCTGATGTCCATAGCTTGTTTTATTCTCCAAGTTCAAGCGTTTTATTAAGTAATCTAGTTTTTCTACGATATTTTTGGCATTATGTGCATCAGGAAATGGATCAAGTTTAACAAGAAGTTGTTCAAGCTGAAAAT